GACGCCTCTCTCACAAGAATGCTTTTTTTGACAAGAACATATGTTTTAATTATAAAAAAACAACACATATGCTTGAATACAGTATTAATAAACAGGCACTTACTAAAAACAAATTTTAATTTTCGGCAAAAATCTATCGAATTTACATTGGATGGGTCCAAGTCAAACTTTTATTGCGCCACAATTAGCATCAAAATAACAACGAAATAATTGCATCATCACGCTCGACAGATAAAGGTTCCAAGTTTTTTTACCCCCTCGCTTCAACTCTGCAATATTAACCGTACAACAACAGCGACCGACTAAAATTTTCACCCGAGTCCAAATGATCCCACTCATGTATTGTAGTTAAGGGTTAATATGCTGGAAATCTGTAAATAAATTTATGTTAAATATATAAAATGTATTTTTCTTGATATTCATTGATAAAATGTTTGATCTATGTCATTTCGACATTATTTAATATTTTATTGTCTCTATAATTTCAAATTAAGACGAAAACATTGCGTTGTTGAGATGTCTAATGAGTTAATATTGTTTATCGACAACGAACTCTAAATATATTATCGCTTATAATTATTGTATTTGGACGACATGTATTTTATATTTTATATTTTATTTTAAAAGCTAAATAAGCAATAGCCCATACTGTTGTTAATACAGATAATTATTAGCATAATATACTGTTTTGATACTGTTTTGTCGTGTATATTGATTATAATTGTACGAATTTAAAATTTTAATTTTTAAAGCAAGATTTCAACATAATATTAATATCGATTCATGAATAGTTGGAAATAGTCCGATGAATGTTGTTTCATTAATTTATATATTAGAATATGTATACAATTATAACAAATGTACAAAAACAGCGTCGATTATTTTAATAAAGTATTATTTGTGTTTTAACAACAGTATGCAAAACTTATTTAACTTTTAAAATCAGTCATCAAAATCACAATATAAAAGTACAATACAATATAAAAACATGTCTAGATCGAAACTTTTGTCGAAACTGAATCGAAATACATGGCTACATATCAATTTCAATTGAAATCCATGAACTGAAACTAAAATTTAAAAAAAGATATCCTATAAAGGCCATATACGTATGCCCATATACGTAGGCAGGAAAAGTTTCTGCAAACAATATGAAAAAAAACATGTAAAATTCGGTAAATGGCTTTATTGTTTTTCGAAGTATTCGCTTTTAAGATCGATACATTTTTGCATACGCTCGAACCAATTTTCGAAGCATTTTTTTCACTCTAAGGCTGTAACAAAAATCAGTGTATGAAATGTTTCAACAGCTGCTTCAGGCGACTCAAATCGCTCACCACGCATCTTATTTTTAATGTTTGGAAACAAAAAGAAGTCATTAGGTGATAAATCAGGTGAATACGGACAATGAGTCATCAATTCGGGATTATTACTGGATAAAAAATCAACGGTTTGACGTGCTGTGTGACAGCTGGCGTTGTCATGATGAAGGATGATGCGACGATTTCGGTTTGTTCTACGCAATTCATTTATGACTTCTAGCAAACAAATTGTTGCATAGCAATCAGTATTTACAGTCCTTCGATCCTTTAAAGCTACGGTTGTCACATGTCCGGTATAACCGAAGAAACAAGCAATCATTTGCTTGGCAGCACTGCGTGAACGAACAACTTTTGTTGGTTTCCGTTTATTTTGAAATACCCAAACAGTGAATTGTTGTTTACTTTCAATCTCATACGAATAGATCCATGTTTTGTCCCCAGTAATGATGTTGTAGACCAAATTTGACCGACTTCGATTGAATTTCTTGAGCATTTCTTTGCTCCATTTAACACGAGCCTGTTTTTGAGCTTCGGTCAAATTGTGTGGGATCCAACGACTGCAAAGTTTCCGTACGCTCAAGTAATCATGCAAAATCGTATTGCTTTCATGTCAATGCCTAAGGATGCCTGAATCTCGCGGTATGTTATATGCCGGTCTCGCTCAATCATTTCACGCACAGCATCAACATTAGTGGCAACTACAGACATGGATGGACGACCTTAACGGAATTCATCATTAAGAAAGATACGTCCACGCTGGAATTCGGCAAACCAATTATAAACAGTCCTATTGGGTGGTGCTTCATCCCCAAAAGCCAAATGAAGTCGATCGATGCATTGTTTCGGAGTTAGATTACATTTGTAATCGTAAAAAATCATTGCCCGAAAATTTTCACGCGAAATTTCCATTTTCTTACAAAATAACTTCTTTTAAAATACTATACAAATAAAACTAGTTGACTTGGGTACAAACTGTCAATTGAATTATAGGTTAAAAACGTCTAATTTTACGGATATGATAGTAGCAGAACGTTGGCGCCACTGGAAGTACTAGATTACAGAAACTTTTCCAGTCTACGTAACATATACTTTTTCTTTATAAATATCATAATTTATTGAAACAATAATTAAATTTCGACCGAAATCAAAACCCGAAATTTCGATTGTGTGCCAATTTTGCCAAAAGAATATAAGTACTTGTTCTTCATAAACATCATAATTGAATTATTAAAATAATAATTATACATATTAGAATTAATATTTATAAAGAAGAGCTATATGGTTTCAGTCGAAACTGACACGTAATGAATGTTCGTTTTCAGTTTCGGTAAAAATTTCGGTCGAATTTTAAAAATGTCGTTTGAATTACAAACGGTAGTGATCTATATCCATAACCACTTTTAGACATTGTACTACATTTTGACTTTTATAGTTGTCTTTTCACAAAAATTCTTTAGATAAATGCAAAAATTGAATTCTAAAACAATGATACAAAAATCATCAAATGTTAAAAAAAGTATATCTAAGTAAAAAAAACTATCAGGGACTAAAGAAAAAATTGCTCTTTACTGAGTTTTTTTAATACAAAATTTCTAGTTTTTTCTGTTATTTGTATTTCTGTATACACATGATCATAATGCGATTGGTCAATTATTTGTTCTCCGTCTGAAATCTCGAATCGATTTTTAGCACCGTTGACACAAGGCTTCTGGATAAGAGCAGAAAGCTGATTTATAATCTTAAGATAGTGTCTTATGATTCAAGTCTTACTAACTTAACTTTCATAATACACAAGAACTATCTTATGACTTATGTCTTAAAGTGTATAAATACGAAGTGCCTTTAAGACATAAGTCATTGTCTTAAGATTATAAGTCAGCTTTTCTGCTACAACCCTAAGCGCCGTGACACATAAAAAAACTTAAGCAATAAAACCAATAAGCTCTATAACATATATATACCGGGTGTCTGAGATCACCCGTACCCCTTTTATCACGGAAACAAAGTATTTTAGAAAAAAATGTTTCAAACAAAAGATATATGGTTTCGAGATGTACATAAGATGGTGTCATTGGTTTGATCTTGAATAGTCGTTTGAAAGTCATATAAAGGTCACGTTGATTTTTCTGAATGGTACACCCTATTTTTCATTGCATATTTTTGTAGCTTATCTCGAGAGCTTTCCAAAACACTAATCAAATATTTTTTTATTAAGAACTTTTTGACGGGTGATATCAGACACCTGCTGTATATATATATATATATATTGTAGATATCTGTACGAAAATGATGTTCATGTCCACTAAGGAGGCCTGACTCGAAGCTTTTTGGTCAGCCGCGGCGTTTCGTCCCACACTACTAAACTTATCAGTAAGGCGATATAGTGTGGGACCTGCCTTAGATGCCTGGAATGAATTTAGATCGATGTTCTATTTAAAGGGAATTTGCGTGGCTGCGGTGCTCACGCGAATCTGAGCGAGTCCCGTTGGACCTCTAGTGGCGAGTCGCCACAATATATATATATATATATCTGGAGCGAGTTTTTCCTATACTAAACTATAGAAAACTGTGGCCCGACGAAGAAAAGAAAGGCAAGCGTCAAGAAAAGAGTCGGAAACACCAATATTAATCATTCTGACTCTTTTCTACTAATGATAGTAAAACAGCATTAACTAGTCAACGAATCCCTGACAATGTAAGCAGTATAAAGTATCAATTTCGCATTAGAGCTAGGATTTAGTTGTACATTTTGGCCGATTTTCAGCTTGGTTTCTGCCCCTCCAACGAGCGCGTTTGAGTGAGTAGGTGCTATGATAGGAGCATATTGGAGCAAGCGACGCGAACAAATCTATAGAGCTCATTAAATAAAACGTAAACAGTAAGCGAATTAGTCAATCGCAGTAAAGACCGTAAAATGATTGTAATGTGAGCAATAGCAAATCCAACACGTTGACCTTACTGCTTACATTTTAGTATTTACTGTTTAAGTTTTTTGTATGTCATGGCCCTTAGACTATCAAAGCAACATATAATATCTCAAAAAATGCATAAGCAAAATGCAAATAGCGTAATTAGTATAAAACTATCTAGACCAATACACATCAAGGATAAAGTCGTCATATTGATTTATGTAATATGTTCAGACATATATTACGTAAATTGAGCCAGACTCCCAGGAAAAAATTTTTCGTATATAATTATATATCATTATATATAAATGATTATATATAAAATATGTCCATATTGGATTATATATAATTATATATAATTATATATACCGATGAGAAAAATGAAAGCTATAAAATTAATTAATCCAGTTTTATTGCTAAAATAAGTATTATTTATTAGCATCATCTTCCAGTATACAATAAAATTAAGATAAAAAAATATTTTCCCTGTGAATTTAAGAATTAATTTCATGATTTCACTACCAAGCGATCACTCATCCTAAGCTGTTCCTCATCTAGTGTTGTTTGACCTCTGTGATCATACGGAAATTGCTATTTCGATGATCCATGAATACTGAATGTTAATGAATGTAAACTGTGACAGATTTATTAGATTTATTTCAGCAGTATTACAGTAATATTGCAATGTTGTATTGTATAAATATCAAAATAGTCCTACTTTTTATAGGATGTTTCCTTAAATTGCTCTCATTTAAAAAATACTGTTTGAACACAATTTTGGCAGACGAAAAAGTTGCTTCTTTTGGCATACAATCATGCTGTGCAATCCGTGTCCGCAAATTCTGAAACACCTTGTATAGTTACGGGGATCGTTAAAAAAGTTTTGAGCTTAACATAGAAACAAATATTTTTTCGGTTAAATTCAGTTTTATTTTTCAATAAAGCCTTCTTTTAAGTTGATACACTTTTCTCTTTGATGTTGTCATTCCTTTAATCCATTCAAATAATAGTTGGCATCTTGCTTCGCAAAATAGGCTTCTACGGATGCGATGACTTGCTCCTTCGATGAAAATCTCTGTTCTCTGAGTCAAATTTTGAGCCTAGGAAATAGAAAATGTCGCTGGGCGTCAGATCTGATGAGTGATCAATCAATTCGAACGGCAATTCGTAAATTTTTGCCATGGTAACCGCGAAGTGTGAGATGGTGCGTTATCTTGATGGAACAGCACTTCCTTCTTCTTCAAATGCCATCATTTTTTTCGCAATTTCTACCTTCAGTTTGTCAATTAATGATGAGTAGTGACCGATGTGAACCTAACGCCCAACTTTATCAAAAATAAAAATTAACACCGTAACGCATTTGTACTTTATTTGTACCTATTTGTATCGATTATTATTTCGTTTGTACTTAAACAGTTAAACAAAAAGTGAAAAATAAAAAATGGCCAGCGTGCAACTTTAAGATTTTTTAATTTTATTTATACCATTCGAAAGAGAATCGTTTGTACCCGTTTGTACCTCTTTTGTTTTTGTTTGTACCTCAAAGGGTTAAAAATACAGCGCTTTTCAATTTTTGCGCAATCGCCATTTGGAAAATTACACATTTTAAAAGATATCGAGATGCGATCAACGACATTCGAAAAAGAATTGTTTGTACCCGTTTGTACCTTTTTTATTTTTGTTTGTACCTCAAAGGGTTCGGAGATATAGTGCTTTTCAATTTTTGCGCACCTCTATATAGCGAATTTAGTTAATTTTTAAGATATCAAAATGAGACCAACGGCATTTGAAAGAGAATCGTTTGTACCCGTTTGTACCTCTCTTAGTTTTGTTTGTAACTCAAAGAGTTTGGAGATACAGCGATTTCAAAATTTCGAAAATGCGCCAGGAGGGAAAGTCGGCCCTCTCCGAACCCTTTGAGATGCAAACGAAAGTAAAAGAGGTACAAATGAATACAAACGATTCTCTTTCGAATGCCGTTGGTCACATTTCGATATCTTTTAAAATGGCCAACTTTCCCTCTTGGTGTCTTTCCGAAATTTTGAAATCACTGTATCTCCGAACTTTTTGATGTATAAACGAAAGTAAAAAAGGTACAAACGAGTACAAATGACTCTTTTTCGAATGCCGCGTTGGTCGCATCTCAATATCTTTTAAAATAGGTAATTCCCCAATATGACGATTGCGCAAAAATTTTAAAGTTGTGCGCTGGCCATTTTTTATTTTTTGTTTAACTGTTTGAAGTACAAACGAAATAATGATCGGTACAAACAGGTACAAAGTATAATACAAACGCGCTACGGTGTTAATTTTTATTTTTGATAAAGTTGGGCTTCAGATTCACGTCGGTTGCGTAGTGCACCTCCGTTATTGTTTTACCCTTTTTAAAATAATCGATGAACACAATTCCATGATTATCCTAAAAAAGTTATCCTAAAACAGTCGCCATTACTTTTTCGACCGATGAAATCGCCTTCGCCTTTATCGGAACAGGTTCATCCTTCGCAATTCATTGTTTTGACTGTTCCTTCGTTTCAGGAGTGAAGTAGTGGATCCAAGTTTCATCAATAGTTATTAATCGATGCGAAAAATCTGATTTATTTCGATCAAAGAGAGTCTTGAAAATGTTCATTCGAATGCTTTTTTGGTTTACAAGCGCGGTGAGTGAGCGCGGTTTGGTGAGCAAGCGCGGTATCTAACGCATGGCTAGCTTACGCATGTCTAATTCTTCAGTCATATATTGACTGAAGAATTCATAATACGTTTTTCCGACATGCTTACAGCCTCTGCTATCTCTCGAATCTTGATTTGGCGGTAATCCAGTACCATTTGAACTTTTTCGATGTTTTTCGGTGGTCACAATTGTTAGTCTGAATGCCCATTATCAGCTGATACGACCAAATTTAAATTCAACTGCCTATCTTTTCACAGTAACAAATGATGGGGCAGAATCCCTGTAAAACAGCGTCCAACTCGGCTTTAAGAAAGTTCTCGCGCTATTTCCTAATCAATAGACAGTTTATTCATAATAATATGTAAAACAATTAAAATAATAGATTACTAACAATATTTTATGTCATTATACATTATTATTGTTTTATTTTACTAAATATTTTCAAAATGACAAAATAAAAGTTGTAAGATACTCATTTAATGTACACACATCGTCCATTTGACATATATTCTAGCTTTTTTCATTGAAGAATGTAAATTTCTTGTAAACTGTACGGGCAATTTAAACGAAACTTTACGAGAACAAACTTAAGTGTTTACTTTATAATTATAACGATTTTTAAATGCAAAAAAATCGTTAAAAAACTATAATTTTTACGGTTTCAGTTTTCTTTACTGATAAAAAAAAACCGAAATTGAAATCGGAACATTTATTTGATATTTTATTAAACCGGAATCGAAACCGAAAAAACCTTTCGGTCCAGGCCCCTGCTTGAAATACAATCTTAAACTGAAGTTGGAACACGTAATATCACAAATTAAATTCACAATTAAAAACTGGTAATTTAATATTATTGATGATAATGATTTTAAAAATAATGTAAAGAATTTTTTACGGAAAAAATATCATTGTAGGAATTCGAACTTGGAACCTCCCTCATTCTCTGTGACGGGCACGTTCATAATTTTGATAGTCTAACGAAATAATTTTTAGATCAGATTTGTATATTTAACTAATTTTGTAGATACTTTAGCAAAATCGTTCTTTCCATGTACTCTCGATAGCAAATCACTATTTATTTCGCGTCGTTTCAGATTTCGGTTTCGCACAGTACCTCTCGAACTCTGAACACAAATTCACGATACGAGGTTCACCTCTCTACATGGCACCGGAAATGCTATTGAAACACAAGTATGACGCTCGTGTCGACCTGTGGAGCGTCGGAGTGATCATGTACGAATGCCTTTTCGGGAAAGCTCCCTATTCCAGCAGTAGCTTTCAAGAACTAGCAGAAAAAATTAAGGACAGTCGACCAATAGAGGTGTGATTCCATTGTTAACCGGGGATTATTCTGAATCATAGTAGGGGTATTTTCTCACCTGAGTGCTCTCCGGGTATCATGTCATCCTTGTCTAACGTACGTAAACATGGGTGGGATAATATCTGAGTGACACTCAGGAATTTGAACTCAGCACAAGATGACGTTTTTACATCCCAGCGGAAAGAAAATGAAACACAATTTTTACAATATCGAACAATTGACAATTTCTTCTTCCATATTTATTTTTTCATTTATTCTTATTTTTTTAGAAAATATTAAATAAATCTATAATGATTCGAAATATTAATAAATTATAGAACAATCAATAATATACAATATCTAGTTAATAATAGTAAATTTTAATTGGGATGTAAAAATCATCCCAGACGTTTGTTTTTACAATAAAAAACTAGATAACTCTTATCGGGTTGAGATTTATTTTATTTATACGTTCTCTATATTTATTTTATTTATACGTTCGGTTTAGCTTTAAACATTTCGATATAACATTAGCAATTCTTTATATTAAATGCACGAATTGTATTAAATTTTGTAATTTTTTTTCGAGTTCAGTAAAGACATTATGACCATATCGCGAGATAAATAATTCAGTGCAAAGATCATCAATACGATGGCGTATAAAAAATGTGCATTAATTCGCGTTAGAGTTCAAACGTGATCGTAAATCACTTATCAGAATTAGTGTTATTCACCGTAGATGCCGAAGGCGGCTCATGTGTCGACGACGTGTAAGGATTTGCTTATGGCTCTGTTGAAGCATAATCCCGCCGATCGGATAACGTACGATGAATTTTTCGCACACGATTTTCTAGACTTGGAACACGCACCTACGAAAGAAAATTATGAGAAGGCAGCCGCATTGGTACACAAAGCCGTTGAAATGGATACCGAGAAAAATGCAAAAGAGGCATTTTATCTTTACTGCGAAGCGCTTAGATATTTCATTCCGATATTGACAGGTAAGATTGTTTCGTATACCGTTAACGTTCGAATACATTTCGATTTAGATTTCTTGAAATTTTTATAAATATTTTATTATATAATCATACATCTATTCAATTAGACGAAAGTGATATAAAACGAAAGGAGGTATTACGACATCGCGTCAACGATTACATAAGAAGAGCAGAAACACTTAAAGTAGCATTTATAGATGAAAACACCGGGAAGCACCTGGTGCCTGAAAATAAAGGGAATGTTTCGTCCCTACAAAGGATACCATCCTTAGAAAAAAGCTCAACATTCTATAACGAATTACGTTTGTATTGTATTGGATCCATAACAAAATGTTTATCTCAAAAAATGTTATCTGAATGCTATTTTTTAGAGGTGCATCGGATCATAAACATACCGGATACCGGATATCGGATATCTGAACAGAATGTAACAACGGATATCCGACCGGATTCAAAGATAGTGTCTTCTAAAAAAAAAGCCTAGAAAGGAAAAGATTGTAATTTTGCAACAATGTATAAGATATTGTAGTATTATGAATATGCATTTATTTCTAGAACATTTGTATGAAAAAAATCAACAATTTTTTTCATGGTATCAATTTTCAACCGGATATATTTTCGGATACGAATGATATCCGACTCTTCGATAGTCGGAAATCATTTTTCGGATATCTTTGGATAGTTAAAAAGTGCTGGATAATACTGGATACTTTCCGGATACTTTCCGATGCATCCCTATTATTTTTCATTATCTACGCTTTAAATTAAAATATTATCGTTTAAAATAGCGCAAAATTTTAAATTATTAGATTATAAAAAGTAACTGTGATGTAACTTGCTTATCAATAGGAGTTCTCAGTAAAAGTACTACAAATATGATGGATGCACTTGAAATAGGAGAAGTTGCTGAGCAATATCTCGCTGAGGGTAACTATGCTCTGGCTTTAGAAAAATTTCAGTCCTGTCTAAGTGTACTTGTACCTCTGTTGGGTAAAGAACCGGCAGGCCGAAGAAGAGATTTGCTACATAAGCAGGTGATTAGATGAATCAGAATATTACACTCTATTGAAGTAAACATATTTTTAAAGTCTTCAGGTGTTATTTATTAATACTTTTTAATTTATTTTCATATTAAACACCCGAACATTTTAAAAATATGTTATTAATATATATATATATATATCCTAAAAAATTTATAAAATAATTTGACAGATGTACTAATAAATAATCGTAATTCTTTTTAAATCTTTTGGATAATTGTATGCATCGATTCTATTGGAAAGTAAATTTGTTATATTGTATCATTTAAAATAGTCTTAATGATTTTATGCCGCTGTCCCTTCAAGGATATCTTGTTGTGTTCCTTTACTATTCAAATTGCAAGCTTGAACAAAAAAAAGTATAATACAAAAAGTATTGTATAATACGAAATATTGTATATTCCATACAATGACACGAGAGTAAAAAGATTCAAGAGGATAATGTGGATTAATTAAACAAAGTGAATTTGTGTGTTGTTAAAATGGAAGCATGAACAACAATTTACCCTGAGAATACGCACGAACATTTGAACACGCGGTTGGTGTTCGTACATGTTACACGAGGCGGCTATTCAAGAGACGCTTACATCTAAAGTCCATCTATCGGAGGGTTGAACTGTTGTTATAATATGCTATTATTTTATCATTTATAAATTAAACTAAAATATAATAATAATATTTATTGAAATTTATAAAAAGTATTTAAAAGATGTCATTGTTATTTTTATTGTTTTGTTGATTCTTTAAATCAATATATATATATATATGTATATATTTGTATACAGTTTTTAATATTTTTGATTGATAGATACAAATTTGGATGAAGGAAGCCGAAAGTACCAAAGGGTTGTTGGCTATCAAGGATATAGATTCCTTACAACGAACATCCGACGAACAATGTGTATTACAATAACAGATGTTTATATAAGTGATATTGTAGAATAATTATTATTTTAGCTGTCAATATTCTCCGCACCATTGTACAAACTTTGCCATTTGTCATTTTGTACCATGCATTAATTAATTAATTAATTAATGTAATAAATAATTTTATATTTACTTATTATTAATTTTAATTATTAATTTAATATTTGCTGTAATATACGAATATTAATTATTATGTCTGTCTACACGACACAAAGGTCAATCCGGGTAACATGGTCGAAACACTTTAGTACTGCAGCGACGTTGCAACATTTGAGGGCCTTATTCCCAAAAAACCACAAAAATGGTTGCTGCAAATGGCTACAATTCTATAATATGGGTGTATCTAAACCTATATTTTTCAAATATTAATCAATTGTAAATATTTACTTTAAGGATCAATTAAAAAATCAATGTTTTCAACAATATACAGCTGGAAGAACTTTCTAGAAGATGAGGGCGCATGCATCGCTTTACGATTTCCGGTATGATCACGTGATCAAATAACGGTCGCGAAGCGCCCCAACATTTCATGGAAAATTCCATTTCTGAGCTGAAAACTTCCCCCTCCTTTTTGTGTATATATATATATATATATATATGTACATCCCCTTCCATCGTTTGCCCCCGCTGCGTTATTCGTTGTTTACAATGCGGAACCCCACCACGTGACTGTCGGCACCTATGTACTTTCTCCCACTCCTTCGAAATTCTCGATCCCCCACCAAGCCAAAATGCAAGACCGGATGTGCGGCAACGTCGCAGTCGTATTAAGTACATAAGACAGAAAAGAGGGGGGACTGAGGGGCGGAAGAGGGAGCAAAAGAGAGGGGAAAAGGGGGAGGTGCGCGGGAGAGACGAGGGGAGAGTATGAGAAAGAACTGGCAACGTGTGCCACATTCAAATCTGATCTGAACGTCCAGTTGGCTTCTTAGCAAAACAGTAGAAAACGCGGAACGGGAGAGAGTCGCGATCGCAGAACGTGTTGCTTCGTGTATGTATGCCTGTCACTATGTCATATCGCGCACCGGCGAAACGAGTCGAGACGCGGTAGTGCGCATCACAGCGACATCGGCGGTGTGTTCCGGCGGGGTGTGATATATATATATATATATACATATACATATATATATATATATATGTGTGTGTATGAAACGTGAGTAAATGTATTGAGACGCGTTCAGTTTCAGACACATTGAGACGTGTTCTTAGGTTGTCTCTCTTTCTCTTTTTCTCCTAGTTTTACACGCTTACTTACTTCGAAGTAGCGAAACTCACGAACGCGTCTTTAGGGGATACCCTTCGCACGTGCTGAATACGACGGCGGCGACTTATTCTTCCGGTTCTTCCTTTGTCATTCACGTACGAATTTTCGCGCGCGCCCGTGCCCGCGCTCTTCGACTCGCAAGCACCCAATTTCATGTAAATGTCCCGGGTGCGCATAGTGGTTACATCACGAATCAGATTCCACACGACGACGTGGAATTATGTGCATGGATGTCCAGTTTAATGAGAAGATGGGCGACAAGAGCACCGACGAGGACGTACAGATCATCGAGGTATTCATCAACAAAGGTAAGTTTGAGGTTAGGTAGATAGCGATGGTAGCGACAACGATTGTTGAATTCTACAAGTTTGAGGAACTTAAACTTTAGTAAGTTTAGTAGCGACAGTGGTACCACCAACGATGGTGACCATAATGGCGGCGGTAATGGCGAAAGATCGCGCGCGTATCTTTATCTCCTTCTCCCCTTTTCTCGGTCACTCTTCACGTGCACGATGCGATCTCTCACCGTTCTTCGTTCCGCATACAGTTGCGATCCCCTTCTACGCACTCCCGTTAACGTTGGTATCCAGAGTCGCGAGCACGTTTTCTGCGAGACGCGCTTTTCACGTGTTACCGGCGAAATGTGGTAGTACCGGTGAAACCATGAGCGTCTGTGTCGTAAGAATGTTGGTGTCAATGACAGTCTACTTAAGCCAGTGACACACGTTTTCTTGCTTGATTGCTTGCGTTCTGGTAAATTATTAGAATTGCATCACGCAACGTTAATTTCTGGTAATTGCACAGTAATAATTTCAGTTTACTAAAATGCAGAGTATTCAAGCAAGAAAACATACATCGTATGCCACTAGTCTTTATAAATGTAAACATCTTTTGATTCGTGCGTCAAATCTCTTACCAAAATTTTGCAGTTTCTAATGCATTCACTCGCGATGTGTTATTTCGGCATGCGCCGAGAAACGCACACGAACGTACCGGCATAAGCACGCACAAACACATGTGGTCTGTTTTCTATTCCTGCACTATACTGTTCTAGAACTCTTTCTCGCTTTAATCAAACATATATCTATCTCGCTTTAAGTTCCAAAAGTGTACACTAGTTTAGCCACAGAAAACAGACCTTCTTGGTCGTACGCGCATGTATATATATTTTTTAGTAAGATTATAGAAAAATTACGAAAAGGAGGGCTTTTATAAAAAGTACATGTCGAACTGTTATTTGATGCATTAAAATTTGATTACTGCTTTTGTAGGACACATCGGATCTATTTTTTATTCCCGCATCAGATTGCAACTTTCTCGCTTTCGCCAAATATCGAACGTATACATATGATGCGTTCCGAGTTTCGCACCATATGTACATGAGAAGCGCATGATGCATCATTTGTCCTTGTTGTTCATCAAATAATAAAAAAAAAGGATAAAATGATACTATCATGCGCTTTATGCGTAAACGCATCCCTACTTTAAGTTCAAAAGTGTACATTATAGTCATATAAAATAGACTTGTCAATACGGACCTAAGTCTTTTCTCTTTTATGGTCTATAATGAGAGTAATATTGTGTAATAAACCATAAAAAGTTACAATTGACCAATTATGGCTATTCTCATATTCGAGTGTGATTGGTCGATTTCTTACGGATTACTACACAATTTTACTTCCATTGTAGACGATCCATTATACAAATTTAAGTATTAGTCCTGAAACATAACAAGTATAGTGAACTTTAAGTTCTAAAATATTGGCCAATTATAATTGAATGAAAATCGAGAGAATAATCGACTAATATTAATTGATTTCTTATCTTAAACCTAAGGCTTATTATACCTATTGTATTTCGAGACTTTGGTCTGGTTTCTTCAATGCAACACGCATTCTACAATAAGCCATTAGTCATTAAATCAGAAGTTAGAAGCTGGAAATTGACCAATCACAGTCATCAATTTTCAACTTCTAACTTCTGATTTATAACTAATGGCTTATTGTAAAATGGCCATAAGATTAATTTCGTTCAACTTGCTGTTTACCTTTTTCTAATTCTTACATTTAAAAAAAAAAAAAAAAAAAAA